ACCTTTTAGCAAATTATAATCATCGAAAGTCTCAAAAATTACAGTATGTGACAGAAAAAGTGGAGGAGGTAAGGGGAAGGTATGACTGATGCCCTAAGTAGTCTGAGGCAGCTGAGTATTTGTAACATGAAAACATCCAGAAGATCCTAGGACAACAGTCAAACATAACAGGAAGGGAAAAACATCCCAAACATCAAGTAAGCATCAAGGCAAAAAGGTCCTCCTGGCCTCTTTACACGACCTATGAAGTCCCAAGGCATGGGATGCAATTAAATACAATATAAAGGGATAAATACAACTGGCAAATTTGTTCAGCTCTGTTTCCTGCACAGCCTGGGGACACCAGCAAACCAAGCACCCAGCTCCTGGTGTTACAAGCAGTAACCGAGACCTGCAGGTGAACTCACATTCAGAAATGTAATTACTCCCATAGACTTCATCTTGAAAAAGCAAAGCACTTTTCTGTCCCGGCTATCTGTCTGGAAAGCTGTTCTAGAATTTCTTTCATCTATTCAGTTACATGTCTTCTAATTTCCAGTCTAAATGTACTCAAGACACAGTTACATCCACTCACTTTTTTTTTTTTTATCAGTCTCACTCGTATTTGCCCCCGAAAGTATTTTTAAAGAGTAACCATACCCTCATTTTGTTAGAAAATGAAGTCAATCCCACTCAGTTCTGTAACACAGAAGAATAGCGACACACCATTCCCTTGCTCATCCTTTTCAACAACTCTTCAAGTTAAAATGCATCTTTTTCTGATGACGGGTAACCAAACTGTATACAATAGTCCCACTGAGCCTTGTGCTACTGTGCAAACACTTCCCTGTTCCTGTTGGCCAGATGCAGTCGGAAGTCACTTCCAGTCTTTTTTTTTTTTTTTTTTTAAATACCTATGCAAATGGTGGCTCTTTGGTCCTCCCCTCTGCAACCTGCATATCAACATATGAACAGCACTTCACGCGAGGGTCTGTCAAGCCTCTCATCGCCTGCCTGATGGCAGCAGAGCTCCAGGGAAGAACAGAGCCATCACCTAGCGGTATTTCCCAGAGTTCTCACCTAGCTTCCAAGCAAGCGCTCAGTCCCTTCCTGAGTAAAGTGTCAAGTCTTTATACTTATAGGCCCTGTTACATTTTCCTTTCATACGTGAGTCCTGTCGCTGTTTGCCCCTGTGCAAGACGTTAGCATTCACCTCATGCCATAGCTTGGTAACTGCAGCAAGCACCACCCGGTGTGAAGAGCCCTCCTTTTCATGATTTCTGCACTTGCCGCCCTCTGATATCATTTGATGCTCCCTTCCTCTTACATTGGAAATAAAAATCTATCAGTGTGTCCCTAGTGACTCTTGGCAGCCACTGGGCAGTTCTCAGACTGCTCTGTCTTTTTTCCATGTCAGTAAGCGCTACACTGTTGTAACTGTTCCTTGGAGGAAATCTGCATAACACTTTCCAGCCTCAAAACTTTCCTGGCTCCTGCCATACGTTTCTGAGATGGAGAAACAGAACTGCACACAGTACTCAGGATCTAAGAGAAAGAGAGGCTTACACCATAGGAGGGTGACATTCTTCTGGGTAATTTAGTTTCTCTCCTGATATATTGTTTGCTTTTTCACCGCTATTGAGTATAAACTTAACATTTTCATAGAGGTATCTTTTATACTTTACAGCCATATTTATTCCCAACATTTTATTAGGTCGGTGAGAGGCAATGGTCAACTCAGCATTCATCACCATATACGTGGGATATTTTTCCTCTTCCATATGCTTTACTTTGCGTTCATCTACATTGAATTTCACCTGTGATTGCCTTGCCCAGGCACTTAGTTTTGCAAGAGTCCTCTGTAGTTTCTCACAGTCAGCACTCATCTTTACTACTCCGAATAACAGCATCATCAGCAAACTGTGTCGTCTTGTCCAGGCCATTTATCAGTTGAATATCACAGGTTCAAGCAGAGATTCTTTTGAGGCACTACCGGTGTTGCCCTCTCCCTCTGAAAATTGATCAGTTATTCCTACCCTCAGTTTCTTGTCTTTTGGCCAGTTATTTATTCATGTGAAGAGCTTTCCGTTCATCTGAGGAAAGAACAGATTCTTAAGTGCACCATAATAAAGTAGAGCTTTCTTATCCTTTTGCCTTGAAGCTCTAATTCCTGGTCCTCTCTCATTGGGAAGGGCTTATTAGGTTCATTGCCCCGTTCGCCAGCATGGTATCATTTGGCTGAGAAAGCAGGGCTGCCAATTTGGAGGCAGGATGGCTCTAAGATGCCCCTCTTTCTCTGCAATTTTAGGGTTATTCAGCTGGAAGCAGAACTGTTCAGCGATGACCCCGAAGGCGGTGTGTTAGTGAAGGAAACTTCCTCCTCGAGCATAATGAACTTATCCTCGTAATCTGCACACATCTACCAGTGACGTGTAAGGCAGGTACTCAATAAACAGGAGACTCAGCGCAGTAATCTGGACCCTCCACACCCTGTGCTGGTTTTATCTGCCATTCTTCCACGATGTGCGGTTAGCAGGCAACTGAATTTGTTTGCCTTTGTATTAGGTTGCTCTGACCTCTCCTCCTGTAACGCGTGTCTTGCTGCAGTCCTCCCCTCTGCAGCCAGAACTGTTAATACTTCAACAACCAACTGCTTCCTGGGTCTCTCCTGGCTTCATTAAGGCTCTTGCTCTGCTTCTAGCTTTATATTTGCGGCTGATCTTCCACTACGGAGGGTTGTTTCCTAACTGCTCACTTAGTGAAGGCACCTGCACTGGCTCATCTCCTAGTTTTTAGTTTGTTTGCGGGTTATTGGAAGGGAGGGAGTAGACAGGCCGGATATCTGAAGGTCAGGTCCTCAGCTGCCATGGGAACCTACTTCTTTTGTAGTCCTGTCACCTCCTACCTGAACATCTTGATGCAAGGCTAGGATTCACCCCGGCAGCCACTTCAAGCACTACAGCATAAGGTTTGGAATTTGATATCCTAAATCCAAGGTTTTATCTTATCGTAATTTAGACAATTTAAATATCTAGGCTCTAAACTATTTAGATTTAGATTGACATTCTTTGGGCAAGCAGGTCTTAAAGACAACTATCTAGAGTATAAAACTTTCTTCTGCTTAGCTAGGGGCTGCAACCAAACACATTTTTTACAAAAAAAAAAAAAGTCCAATTTACATATGCTGCATGTCTTGTTTGTACCAAAAAATGCTGCTATTAGTCCCTCAGGTAATGACAGTGTGTTTATTAATATTAAATTTTATCCTGCCTTCATTACACTAATCCACAAAGTCATAATAATTCTGTCTTCCACAGTATTGCAGCAGTTTTTTAAAAAATTGTATCAAAGACCAAGGATACTAAAGGAAATACTGAAGAGGACTGGTCACAAGACCTATCCCTAATGAATACTTCTGCTAACTCTTGCAGCCTGGTAACTTACCTCTCAGTACATCCCGTCCTAGTCCCCTCTTCACCCAGCTCCTTATCTGCCTAAGCCAGCTTCTTATAATTCCTGTATTTATCTATACCATCTCCACTTTAAATAATAATTTCCTTTGGGAATTGCACTTGAACGCTTCCTTTAAATCTCGATAGCTTAAGCCATCACATTACTGTAGTCCAAGATGCTCTCAGCAAAAAGAAACATTGAGTTGGCCTGACAAAATCTACAGATGAAACTTTTCTGCCTTTTATCCCACTCCCGTTATGATGATGTTCTCGATTACTCTTTGCTCAAGACATTAGGCAGTACTGAAACAACCTAGCTCACACGCTCTTTTCAGAATTTCTTTTTTGCTCTTTTTTGCCAGTCTCTTGCCAGTCAGAGGGCGTTATCCCCATACTGAAATACCCATTAAGAATTCTGCAGTTTCAGGACTGGCGGCAGTCAGAGGCAAAATCAAAAAAGTAATGCATTCACTTCCTGCAAAGCAAGTAACTAAAAACAATGAGAGTTTTCTTATCCTTATTCGTCCCCCAATAAATTTCACAGCCCCAACAACAATCCTACTGTTTCTTGGAAGCAACAGCTCAACTGGTCATTTGGTATTTCAGCATGCTTTTACAGTTTACTACTTCAATGGCGATACTCAACCAATAGCGGAGCGTTTAAAGTGGAACAGGAATACTGCCAAGCTAAATACGTTGGCGAAAACTAGTTGAAGTCGTTTCAGAAAAACAATGTTTAGTACTGTTCAGTAGCTTTTTAATTTGATGGCACTGCTGTGCTCCTTTGTTTATACTTGTTAATCTTCATTTTCCATAGGAAAGAAAATGTTTTTTTCACTGACGCTTACCGTGCCATCCAAGTTCAGGACAACTAGTCAGGGGAAAAGAACCTGAAACAATTCCACGTTCTCCTGTCTGGCCACTCTTTTTTCAGAATTTACAAGTGAGACCGTGCCACGAAGAGAGATAACTCGGGTCACGATACAGAGTTCCAACAAAAACAACCATCTTTTCCCTGTGGTATAGCAGCGTCGCTGAGCCGATTTCCATCTTGTGATTCAAATCAACAATTAAATTCTCAGTGCCATGAAGCATGCAGCAGGCACCATTCTAAAAGCCTCCTACGGACAGATTTTTCTATCATTTCCCCACAACGTTTTCTGAGCTAATCTTTTCAGGACATGACCTTCAGGCACAATTATGTCATAAAAGCGTTATTCCCAACACGTAACTCTACACAGACATCTTAAAATAGTCTTACTAATACTAAACAGAGAGAATCAAAAGATAAGGAATATCTGTCGAAGATATTGAATAGAGACAAGACAAACATGTCTATCCTGCTAATACTAGCGCTCAACGTGAGAAGGGGGGAGTGAAAGGAAAAAAAAAATTAAGCAGCTTTCGGGAGAGGCAGAGGCCAAAGTGCTAAATAAATAAATAAACCAGCCCGTCCAAATGTGAACAGAACTTCAAGGAACGCGAGTTATTAAATGAATTATTAGAGAGCAAATTTTGGAGATCATTTTTGCCAAAAGCATGCCCACATTAAACGGGAAGTTACACTACCTTAATTGTACTTCTCAGCCATAGCTGTTGAGCTCATAGGTTGATCACCTGAAAAACAGAAAATGGAAGGTTAATAGTGCTGTTCATATTTTCATTACTGACTAATAAGAGCATCTAACGTGTTTATTAAAATAGGAGTCTTCGCTTTCCAAACGAGTAAAGAAAAGCAGAATACATAGCTTCTGATATTTCTTATTTTATTTCTCATAAAGGCAGCTTCAAATTAGAAAAATAACAAGAAAAGAAAGCCTGATGTTTTCATGAAAACAGCTTACATATTTTCAGGCGGTCTCGCCACTCAGAAGCTAAGCAAAAATTCACAATAACCTTCATTCTTTCAGAAAATCTACCATAAACCTATCTATCAGGCACTCATCTGTAATTTTTGTACACTTAGGTATATTGTCTGCCTTTCCCAATCTAAAACGTTTCCAGTAAAATCTCCTACTGGAGTTTTACACGTCTTTATTATGTGTGTGGGCAGAGCCCATTACTTGAACTGTACTGTTCAGTGAATGCCTCCCTGAGGTGGAGGAAATAACTGATGGGGAGAGAGGAGTATTTTGGAGGCTGTTCCTCCAGTTACAGCCCAGGTGAGGCTGTGCTACAGGGAAACTTGGTCTGCCCAGAAAAGGACAAGAGATTCAAGAAGCATTTTGGCCTCACAGCACAGGCTGTCAGGTTTCAGGGATTTCTCTTTTCCCACCGCTCCAAGGGGGAACGTGTAAGGACCTCTGGCAAGGCTTGCCTTCTGCTGGGCGCTGGGGCAGGGACTCCCCAGTTTGAGACCGGGGACATGGGGTCCCCGTGGTTTTGTGCTGGCTGGGGCAGTACAGGCCGGCAGTGGTCACCGCATAAGCCCTTTTTTTCCCCTGTGGGGAGCCGCTGGGCAATGTGGGTGGTCACTGGGTACCCTCCCATTTTTCCCCTCAGTAGATCTGTAAACCCCCTCTTGCCTCATCCAGGTTGTCAGTAGCCTCTTGTACCAAACTTCTGCAACTGCGTGTGTGCTTCCTAGCTATTAGCATATTGGTACATGTTTTGAGGAACAAAGGTTTTACAAAGGTTTCTTGAGTCACTTACTTAGAAAAACGTGTATAACTGTAAGTTAGCCAAACCTAAACCTAAACCAAGCCAAGCCTACACCAAGTCTGTAGCTCTGAATGTTCCCATACTCCAAGGGTATGCATAGGCTGAAAATGTAGTATCTGAAGCTAGAAATTGTACACGGTCTCGTTTTCAGACTAGGCACGCAGAATATGTCTAAACCAAACAATTGCCTGGAATCGTCTGGAGTCGGTTTGGTTTAGACATATTCTGCGTGCCTAGTCTGAAAATGAGACCTTGTGCAGTTTTTAGCTTCAGATTACAATTCCAAAGCCGTCAGGCTCACCATGCGTGCTGCAAAACTGTCTTTTGCAGCTCAAGCCGAGCTCTGCTTGCTGCACACAACAGGGATCTCCAGAGATGAGACTGAGTCACGGCTTTTGAACAGGATCTTTACTTGGGGGAGGTCATAAATTGTTACTGGTTGGCTTTAAAAATGAGTTGTAGAGCTACTGGGCTCATTTCACCTCTCTTACTCTGCAAAATGCAGATCTTTCCTAAGAGAGCATTTGTCAGCATTATCATCGGACAATTTCACGTGAAGCCAAGATATTTTGCAGGTTGCCGCTTTCTCTTTTACTCTAGTAGTTGTTAGTTATCTAAGAAACAGTTCTCAATTGTTTGGAATATGCAAAGGGCTGTGACTCTTCCACACTACCAACAAAACAGCAGAACTCATTCTGAAGGCTATTAATTGACGGCACAGAAGCTATTTACTGTTATGTGTATTTGAGTTAAGTCAGTTTTCCATGCTCTTAAAGCAGAAATCAGGCACACTTCGGTACGCACGGTTTGCTTTGCTGTAACTGGAACCGTTGTTTTGTTCTGAAGTGGAACAAACACATGGCAGGTCGGGCTGTCAGATTTTTTAAACAACTCAAGGTTTTTATGGTTGATGGAAGTTTGTGAAAATGCAGGTTATGTTGACCTCAAACAAAATAGCAGTTAAGGACGGAGAACCAAAATGGTATTTGATTAACCTTCAAAATAAGTATTTCGATAAATATAAGTAAGCTATGTTAACAAGGAACCATCTGAGTGTGGGACTATAACACTTTTTTCCCCGGAAAGAGGTCAGCGTGACCAAATCCTTTCTCTTACCGTACATATACAAAAAGAGAACCTCAACCAGTGCATTAGGACAAAAATAAACAACCTGCGGTTCGTTTCTGGGGCCACAGAATTAACAACAAACGGCTGCTTTTATTTCCGAAAAAATCAGAAAAGTCTACCTTTGTTATTCAAGAGAAAAAGAGCTGTCAGCAGACAAATATACTTACTCCACAGACAACTCAAATTCTGTCATTTAAATGGACTTAGTAGCGAATGGGAGCTGGGAGGACAGTTGTTCCTCTAGTGCGTGCACTGGTCTATAGGAAGCACTGGCACACTTTACTACTGCCATAGCTGCTGCCAACTTGACATGCCATCCCAGTAACTATCTGTTTCACCAACAAAAATCTACAGCATTAAGGCTCCAATTAGTCTGCCCAGAGAACGTCCAGTCTTCCATGCCTGTAGCTGCGGCAGAGGAAACGAACCAACTCTATTACCATGGGAACAATGTTTACTACTTGCTTTACTAAGAGATTAATGCCCGTCGTCAGTAGATCTTATGAGAAATGATCATCATTTTGCATTTTTGTAATGAAGAGGCATCGTTCTGCATGTTGCTCACACACTATAGCACGCTTTTCCTCACAGTCATCAAGGGCTTTTAGTTATGCGTATTATTTACCGAAAAATAATCTCTTCAGACTGTGAATGTTTTGGATTTTAATATTAAGAAGAAATCACCCCGTCTCTGAATTTTCTACTGCACGAGAAGACAATGCCACAGCTACAGACTGTGGCTATTTCATCAGCAAGTGATTCGGTGCGATAGGAGTGGATCAGGAATGAACGATGAAAACAGGCAGCGCTGTAGCCATTTCATCTATATGTAAAGTTGGGTTTTACTTTGGACTTTTTAACGCCGCCATACCTGTGGTTCAAAGCTGTCTGAAGGATCAGTCCCTCATTTGCACTCTCATCCACCCCTGTTCGGGGGAGGGAGTATTTTGTACCCACTGGATCCAAGCTTCTGGTTTAATTTCCTCTGAAAGGAACCTAGTTCACACGCACCAACACACGTTCACATGCCCCAAAATCTGGTAAGTGGAAATAACTGGAGGATTCACCTCCAAACCATACCACTGCTCTGAACTAAACGTTCCCCATTTCCAGTCCCAGTGGAAACTGGGGGGATATGCGAGAGAAACAGTTAAGGAAGTAACTCTAGCATGGTAGGGTAAGGTAAGAGCGTGCCTTCACTCACCTCACTGCATTTCAGTGCTCTCTGCCAGCCTCTGCTGGCAGTGTCATGTAACAGAGCCATCCCGAGAGGCAAGAACCAGGGATCCTTCAGTTAGCAGTGATGACACAGTCACGCAACAAGCAACCTCTAGGCCCTTACGCTACATTTACTATTGAAGATTTTACACATGGCCTGCGCTTCGCTATCCTTTCGGTGACGGAAGAAGCAACGAAAGGCGCTACCAAATCCTGCTGCCGTGTTTGCTTGTAACAGATGATGTATACATTTCCTTTAGGTTACAGAGGAAGAACAAGTGGCATGTTTGTGTAATCATTTCATAAAACTTTGCTGACTAAATACATCTTTGAGGCTGTAATTCAAGAGGAGTTTAATTTCTGCCAGTGACGACTGCCTGAAAAACTACTCCTGTCATTAAATCTGAAACATAATTTTCCAGTATTTTTCAAAGATCCTGCTCTCTTTAAAGGACAGCATGTTTGCTCTTGTTTAATACTACAATATCCAAGAAAAAAAAGTGTTAAATATCTCACCTAAAGGAGAGGAAAAGGACAAGTTTGGGAAAGAAAAGGTGAAGAGAACTCTGACCCTGCGAACACCCGCAAGCGATGTCGAAAGGCTGAAGGGCAGGCGTGAACTGTAGCTGTGGCCAGATTCTTGTCATTTTGCATTTTCGGAAGACTGCAGGAATAGATGGGAAAGCAGAAATGCTCCTAGCGTATAAAGGAGCTGTTTCTCAGGTTTCCTCAAACGCGTTCCTGACCTTTTATTTGAGACGCAGGGGGCACCTACAGACTCTTTTGGTCTGCTGACGTTGAGAGTTGGGCACGGCCAAGATCTGGGACTTTGACCAGGTAAAGCTGCAGGCATATTTCAGTCCTCTTGCTTGAGGACTGCCTGCCTCTGTGTGCGCACCTGCGTTCGCTCAGTTCTAATATGGTGAATTCACTGCTGCTAATAAAACGCAAACCACCAACAATATTTTTTAAAAATTCTGATTGCCTTTATGGATTTGCTCCTAAATGCAGACCACTGAAAATTTCACAGTGCAACAGAAAAACAGTTTGCTTATAGATCAACGGGTACCGCGTGTTTATTCCACCTATAGAATAAATGCACAAACCTCCTCTCTGTTTGCTCTGTGTTTCTCACAGGTCATTGCACCATTCTACACGACCTCACGTCTAAACGGCTTGGGCAATGCTCTGTCCAATCAGCTGCCTCACCGTATAATACAACACACTTTACAAAATTGTATAAATAAAATAATCTTGACAACCAACAACGGTAGTCCGCCATACGTAGCCCCTGTGGTAGAGACCATTACAAATAACACAGGATGAGAAGGCAGAGACTGTCAGACCTCCCCTGTCAGACCTTCCCTGAAAGACAAGGTATCTCCACACACGCTCATTTTTAAAATCAGATGATAATATGAAGCTGGCAACGGGACAAGTTAGCCTACGTGGCAACTCTGAGCCCGGGCCGTCTTTCTGCTAACACAACCCAGGGACACAGCCTTGCTCCTCCTGTCTCATTAGGGCCCAAAAAAAAAAAATCTTATTTCATCCAGAGGGTCCACGGAACAGAAGGATCTCTCAAAATGTGAGACAATCACAGTAATTCG